CGTATCGGATTTAATAACAAGCCAGTTTTGTATTGTTGTCACGCTGGACCTAACTAACACTTTTTTACTTTTACGTTTGGACGTAATTTTTACGGCTTCTATCATTACTTCTAGACGTACTACTAGACATTCCGACTATTCAAAGAAAACGCCGAACCAGAAAAGTGAATGACGTCACTTCCGTGGGGCGCGGCAGCCGTTCCGGTGTTGGGGTGCGCAGCAGTCTCTGCCGTACCGAAAGGGGCACATATGTGTTCGAAGAAAAAGAAAAATGACCTCAAGAGGGGACAGGACGTTCCGAAAGAGTTTTGACTGCTTTGAAATTGGAAGTTGACATGGAACCAGCAAAAAGTGTGGTCGTCGGTGTTGCGAGGCTCGCGTAGGGGGCGAGTATAGAGTGACCGCGCAACGTATTGAGACGGCTGCAATACCGGGCATCGTCGTCGTCTACTAAGCTGGCGAAATCTTCAACGGCACCCGTCAACTCCCCTACGTGTACCAAGAGCTGGCCTGGTCCGTATGGAACTTTTTATTGTGACTTTTGTAGCGTTATATCGCTACACTGGCCTCACTGAGACAATTTCGAGTGGCACTGGTCTGCGCATGCGCAATGATACTCCGCCACCGCCGCGCGCGGCTCGCCGCCGGTGTGCGCGCAATTCGATGCGCTGCGCAGACGATCAGTGGTGTCACGCACCAAAGCCGGCACCTCTCTCGCACTCGGCCGCGGCCGCGCGCGACTCGCCGCCGCCGGTGTGCGCTTTCCAGAGGAGTGCCGTCATAGCCATGGTAGACATATGGACGCCGACGTGCGCGCCTTCCCTGTGCAGTCACCATTTGACACTGCGCTGGAGCCGCTTGATAGCGCCTCTGACTGGCGTTTGCCACTGTGGTATAGCCAAGGAGAAGGAGAGTACAAATGCCGCTCAATGGTGCAGTAGAGCGGAGAAGCTTAACTCATCTGATCCCGAAGTAGTTGCCCGGCAAAATAAATATACATGTGCCACATAATGCGTATACCGTGTGTGTGTCTTTGGAACAGCTGTAAGCATGATATCTGGAAAGCTAAGAATAACCAGCTGAACCTTTGCTAACGCTACGTATATTTTCTAAAACTGTCATTTTTTATATAACCAGCTTTTCAATAATTGCAGTTGTGTGCGCTGCGTACAACGGAGAAGCTCAGAAGCGCGAGCATGATCTTTGTTCCGTAATTATTTCCTTGTATTCCTCTTTTTTGTGTTATTTTATTAACATTCCGCACATTTGTTCACCTGTTGTAGTGTTCTTTTAGAACAGAGTTTATTTTATAGTTTTCGTTTCACCGCGTATCAGTGTTCTTCCTCTGTTATTTGTTTTTTGTAATCTCCTTCCATTGCCCTTGTTTTCATTAAATGCTTGTTTGTGTGTAATGAAATCTCTGTGTCTGCTCTTCGAGTGCGTCGGTCAGGCTCATACATCGCCACACGTTCAAGCCCGCACGGGTCGGCCAACCTATAAATAAATTTGAGATGTACTACTTCGAGGCCTTTCAGGCGTTGCAGGCCGAAGCGTAAATTGGAAGCCTGCGAGTCTGCCCCACGTCGATGGTTGATCGTTGGGGCCTCACCCGAAGTGGTGACAGTCATTTGTGAAGTTTTCGATGTTGTGTACTGGCTAATATGTAGCCTCTAATAATAAGGGAGTGAACAATGCCAGACATATCAAGTCAGCTGAAATTGAACATTTCATTCATTTCAAGTGTTACATATAAATTGTCAGCTCTGTCATTCTTTTACAGCAAATGGCACTGTATCGCGTGTATCTGTACTGCTAAAAATGTGTGTAATTCAGTAATGTTCGCCATTTCGTATTTTAAAAGTATGTTCTGTCTCTTATGCATCATCTAGTTTAGCCATTATGGATGCGCGGACTGTGCAACCTCATTAAAACATTTTTAATTGTAGATGAAATTCTTGTGCTAGCTTAAGCTTTTAAGCAAGGTAAAATGAAGGTGTGAAAATGGTGTAAGCTCAGAAAAACTTTTCACCATTTTTTTTAACAGTGATGTTGTACAAGTAAGCCACATCATGCATATTTGTTTATGATTTAAATAGTTTTTAGCTGAGTGGCAGTAAGCTTGTTAAACATTTCTACAATTCCTACAAGGTGTGTGGCTGTTTGGTCTAGATATGCTTACGATTATGAAATTAGCTCGATAAGTGTTTTCAAGGCAAATGTGCAAGTCCGTGTTATTCTGTTTACATTGTTTTGTCATGGTTTAAAGTGTTCTCTAGCCACAAATAGATGTCATTCGGGGAATTGACCATTACGCATGGAGCAAGCAACTTGTGGCATGCCTATGAGTACCATGCTCTGCTTGCAGTACGACAGAAAGAAAACAAGGAGCAAGACAGTAATAATGTTGACTGATAGACATGACAATGACTAGAGCACGTGAGTGAACAAGATGTGTGGCCTGTAGTGCTTCTCCCATCCCTTGTTCACTTAGTGCGATGACAGTCATCATAATTGATTAGACCCAACTCTCTTTAAGGCTATTTTGTTTGACTGTTTTCTTTATTTCTGATATGCTTATTCATACAACCTTTTAAGAAGTCAAAATAAAAGCTTACAGGAAAAACATGACTAGCCCTCACTTTCCATAACGTTTACAACAGTGGCAGACACAGTGTCATTGATTAGCACCTGAACTGAAGAACAAGAAAAATTACATCATGCAGATGTACAGCCCTTTATTTCTTTAACCAGAATTCGCGAGAGCCGACTGCCCTGTCAATAAGCGGCCTTTAATGGAGCACAGGGCAAAATGAACATGAACATGTGCGTGCCTGCGATGAACAGTCCTGTGCAGCTGTCTTCAGGGAGGCTGTTCCGGGAACAGGTCGCCTGTTCCCAGAATAACCTATCATTGGATGCAGGCGCTTCCAGACTGTGGTCGATGGTTGCACATTAGGTTAGAAAGATGAACAACTGTACACAATCAACACGACAAGCAGACTTTAAAACATGGTATGTTGTACTTGTAAAAACTATGTTGGGAACAATGATCAGCTCACACAGTAAGCTTTTGCAACTGGAAACGCACCGCATGTACGTACTAAACCTCTTGAAAGAAACAAGATCTAAAGGCACATTATAAAAATACAAAGAAAATAGAAAGATTGTAACACTCTCTACTTTCCTATATATTCTAGCTATGTCAATGCAATTGCCATTTGGACAATTCTGGCAGCAAGTGAGCAAAATATAAATCTTCAAGGGCGCGAACTGCCTTAGAGAGAAAGCAGTCATTCCTCTGCACACACACAATCATGTTCTGCTTCTCAGTGTATATATAAAAAAGCGCTCTTCGAGATTGCATATGAACATTAGTAGCTGCACCTGTGTAGTATCTGTGTGTTTTTGACAATGTTAGCCTCCCATTTATGTACTTAAGGTAAGGCACAAAACACTTCTCCTCCTGGTGGTCGATTATCTCTTGGCTCCTCCTGGCGTAAGGGCACTTAATCCCGAGAAGAAACGTGTTCTTGCCTATTGAGAAAAGGCCGTCTGGACTTCCCGACAACCAGGGCTGGCTACGACGAAACAGAAGTCCTGTCTGAAATGTGTCATTCTTTTTTACCATAAAGCATAAACTTGCAGCATATTTTCTTCAAACACAAAGAACTGCCCACATGCACGAGTTACAGTAGCCTCTGGCTTTTTAACTTAATATTACCATACTTTGGTGTTGATATATATTGTTTTCAAACTTTTTCCTTGCTATTGGTTTCACTCTCGTACCTAAAAAATAAAGAGACTGTTGCTTATATGGAAATATAATATGTGATAAGTACATACCATGTTCCATGGCTGTCGAGAAAAATTTGGACCATAGAGGAGAGTGCAAACAAATTCCCGGGGGCTCTTTCTGCTTCTGAGAATAGTGTGTGTCGTGGAGCTTCTAATGCAAAAACCTTTCTTGATGCCACCTGTAGGGCAAGGTTCATGTATGAACACTAAACCATGAATAAATATTTTGGGTTTAGAAAGTGAGTGTAAATTAAAGGGGTGATGCCACCAAAATTGTGGCATGCGTGTTCTTTGCTGTAAGAGTTTCTTTCAGCTCCAGGAAGCATGATACACGCACCAAGATTCGTGTATATTTACCGGATAATTTAATATTGCGATGTTTATGTGGACCTTTTTCGGTTTCGGTTTCGCATCACCGAGTTGTGCCGTGACGTCAATGCATAGGTGGCTTGGTGACGTGGCCACACAAAGCTGTGATGCAGATCGTGCGGAATTTCGTCTGCTCTCACACAGACGTGCCACACAAACGCCAGCAGAACAAACGCGCTGACAGTCGCCATGGCCAGCTGCAGTAGCCAAAATTCCGAATCCTCTGCATCCGCGTCCGATCCCGATGAGGATATCGACTTTTTTTTTCTGGAAGCAGCGAGGAGGACGGGCACGCGGCTTGATTGTAAATCCAGACAATCGTTTTATTTCTGATCTCTGGCCAGCGATAAGAAGAAGAGGCCCATGCGGTGCCGGAGGTCGACAATGAGGTTCAACAGCATGTTCAACAAAGTGGTAATACTGACTGGTAAGTGGCGATGGTTCACGTTCTAGAAGGTTAGGTTATAATCGTGTTATAAATATTAACTCAGCACATTTTATGACAGCTAGGGTTTGAATGGAAGCAATAATTACATTTTTTTGTTCTTTCATCGTTGCGCTGTAGGCGTTCGGTGCCTGCCCTCTCAAATATTGTTATACGCTGTTGCACTGATTGTGTACTTACACTGTCAATACTTGCAACATAAATAATTACTTCGCCGGTCACGAGCGGCCAAACGAATACTTCCAAGCACGCGCACAATGCATGTGGCAGTGCACGCCCCACGTGTCGTATTATTCTGAAGTTGACTGGCTGTGTGACATACGTATCAGTTTGTATAAGATAAATTGAAATGTACATTTACTGCAGGCGCACGTGCGGTCGATGTCGGCCAATGGGTAATGAGCTAGAATCTGTTTGCTGCCGCGAGGTTTCAGAAGTTGCTGCTCATGTGCCAGAGGGGGCGAAATGCATAACAAGTCACCCCAGTTTTGAACCTGTATGCCTCAACATCTACGCCCTGCAGGTGGCTTAATATGCACTGATGGAAGACAGGCCTTCTCTTGTCGATGCACCCGATATACACACGTACGTACAAGGAGGTAAACAGCCTTGTGCATGTGTGAAATACGATGTGCACCATAAGCTATTAATTCATATGGTTCGTACCGGTTTTTGATACTGGTGCTAAACATCGCTGCTTGTAGGACTACACAGTGTGCCGTAACTAGAGTGGTGTGCATGTACGAACATGCATAAAACGAAATGCATGTACGAACAAACATAAAAAAAATTCAGAGCCACTCCTCTCTCTACCCAATAGAAAAATTGCAGGCTATACTGTTACTGTATAGGGTAAATTTATATAGTGCTTAACCCTAAAAATGTGTTTATATATGAAAAAAAGAGACAGAAAGCATGAGACACAGGAAAATGACAGGCAAATTATGTGCTTACTTACAAACCATTTTCTCCAGTCAAAACTTTGTCCATCTCTGTTATTGTTGTGCATTTCCTGCCATTTCTTGTTTTCTGTGACATGTAGCAACTGCCCAAGGTAAAAAATTTGGTGTTTATATACGTGAAGACAAATAAAGCACTTCATGTGCAACAGTCAGAAAGTGCGGGTAATAGGGGCAAGATACACGAATTCCTTTTGAAGTCTACTTCTTTCCGTGAGCTAGCTACAGACTAAAAGCACCATTGAACAGATATGTCATTTCCCATTGAGCATACATTCGGTGGAATTGCAGTAGGCATTTGCAAGAAAGACTTTGCAGAAAACGTTAAGCTATCTATTGTTTGTACATAAAACTGTCATTATATCACTTGCAAATAGCTGCTGTTGACATTTATTATTGGAAGATTAGGCAACGAACAAAATACTTGCTGATTTACCGTTTTACATTTTTAGCAGGTACAGGTACACAGCATACAGACAGTTTGTCAGATGGATATGGGTGTGGCTAGGCCGGCGAAATCGGAAGGTGCTGCCAAGCTGCGTGGTGAAGGAGATAAGAAATGCTTTTCCCTCAGAATAGTACGCTAGATTCAAATACCCTGTATGATGAATAAATTACTGCTTTGGGTCACATATACAATACATATACATATTTCACAAACAATACATATTTCACAAGTATTGTTTTATTAAGTTTCAATATGCATGACAATCACACAGAACAAGCTAAGCAAAAGAAGAACTTGAGAAGAGAGGAAGAACAGTAACCATGCAAATAAGTCGTGTACACATTCGGCACCAGGTGTTTAGAAAGTGCAAGGCATACTGGCCATGAGTAATACAGCCCTGCTTTCCTGTAAGCCAGACATTGAGTAGCAGTGAAGAAAAATAGAGGTATGTTATCAGCAGAACTAATGACATACACCTTTTACAAAACGGTAATGGTATCACTGAAGGCCTGAAATTCTATTCTGATGAGACAGCCGTCGCATTATGCTGTAGGTTGGCACACGCGTGAGGTGATAATGTCTTGAAGGCAGAAGTACGATGTCAGGTAGTAGTACAGTTGTGTCCACTTTTAAAGAAAACTTCCGTTGCAGGGCATGTTTGCTCTAGTGAAAAAGCACAGTGACACACATTTTGGTAACACTAGGTGGTTAACATTCTTACAACTCCCTTTGACAGAATTGCTCGTGGCGCAACAAATTTTCCACATTCATTTGCAGTTAGGAGTTGACATTATGAAACATACACATTTCAGAGTTCCCTTTAACAATGAATTGTACACTATGTTTTCAGTTTTTCAGCACAGTAATTAGGTATGCTTCACTTGTACTACATTGGAAAGGCAGTTAAGATCAGATGGAGTTTACCCCATGCACTGCCTAATAACGAACATACAGTAGACGCTTCATCATGAGTTTTCAAAAGAATGCATCGAAAAATGCTCTATACAAGGAAATGCACAATTTAAGTTCAATGAAACATTGCCCAGCTTCCATTGGTGATATCGGAAACATCGGCACTGAGAAATGGTACGCAATAAAAATGTATTAACATAGTTGCTTTGTAATGAGATACCTCGGCTTGCTTCATAGATCTTGGTGCACCGTAATGCATCTTTGATCAATTCTGCTCACAAGTTAATAAAAACAGGCTTTTTAAGGCACACACTGAATGCTTCTTGCCAGGTGATACTACACTCCGCAAACCACTACATTTTTTTCGCAATCAGACTTTGGAGATGCTACACTCATTTTGGATAATTATTATTTACTGAAACGGCTTTTATGGCACACTGGGCAGTTTTTATGCACTAATGTTGACTTTTTGAATCTGATAGCAAATCTTTTTCTGGCCATCACATGATGTAGAATACGTGTACATATTAAAGTATAGTTACTGACGACCTGATATGTGCACAAAGCAGGAAATGTCGAAACAATAGTGACACTTGTACAAAAGTGTGAGCTTGATTGAAAAAGTATCAGTTTTGCCACAAGCTTGATGGAATGAATTTGATAGCAACCAATTGAAATCCAGTCCTAACAATACGGCTTCATTCACACGTGCATGATTTCTGGTTGGTGCTGGCGAGTTCTTGAGGGCTGCCAGGAACGACCACGCAGGTAATGTTACTGAGGCATCGTAAACCTGCGTAGCGACCAAAATACCTCTTGATCAATTTTTCAGATAGCCCATAACAGCAGACAGGACTCCAGACCCACACTTTTTTGCCAAGCTGATAGATGACGTGTCGGTACCAGAGATTAAAACATTAGGCGTCATAATTCTGCTGCTTGGTGTGTGGATGCGCAGAGGATACCTCTCTTCTTTAGTTCGCTGAGTAAAAGCTGCAGCATTCAAATTTGCATGATTGCAGTCATGCGGTAACATGGCGTCAAGCATTCTCGTGACTTCACGGCCATGAAGAACGGCAAGTCACAGTTTTCGTGATCCACGCTAATGTACATGCTCAATATGTCGGCAATATTCTTGTTGAGGCATTCTGTTAAGCCGTTCGTTTGCGGGTGATAAGAAGTGGTTTTTCGGTGGGCTTTTCCACTGAGCTCAATCAGTGTCTTTAGGAGCACAGCTGTGAAAGCTGTACTACGATTTGTAATTAAAATTGTCGGAGCACCGTGTTTCAGAACGATATTTTCTATGAAGAATCCAGCGGTTTCAACAGCGGTGCCACTTGAAAAAGCCTATCTTTTCGTGTAGCACGTAAGATAATTGGTGGTGACTATTACCCACTTATTGCCAGCATGGAAGTTGGAAGTGGTCCGAGGATGTCTGTTCCGCTTTGGGCAAAAGGCATCGTGGCCACTTGAATAGGTTTTAATAATCCAGCTAGTTTGACGGTGGCGATTTTAGACACTGACAATCGAGGCAAGTATACTCACGTAATTTTTCACAATACCTGGAAGCCTTGGCCAGTAGCATTTTAGATTCTGGCTAATGTGTGTGTTTATCCGAGGTGACCGGCATTGGCTCATCATGGCAAGCACTAAGTATCTCCTCACGGATTGACGTCGGGACGACAAGTAGGTGTGTGCTTTCACTAGGAGAAAAATTTTTATAGAGAACCCACTACAGAAGCAAATGACTGGAGCTTAAGTCTTGCAAATTTTCTAGAGACGCTTCTAGTGTGGCCATTCAAACTTCAATACAGGGAAAGATTGCTCTCTTCCTTCTGCTTGCACTAAATCGTAGTGGGTCAATGACTCCTACAAACACCAAGTCGTCATCGCACTTTATCGGTGACCTTAATAAGTTATTGGCGTCGGCGTGCCGCCGTCCAGACTTATACACGACCGTCATATCGAATTCTTGAAAGCCTAAGCTCCGCCGTGTGAACCGACCAGACGGACCTTTCAAGTTGGTCAGCCAGCAGAGGGAATGATGGTCGCTGACTATGTAGAAGAAACAACCGTACAGATATGGATGAAACTTCATAATTGCACTACGACAACAAGACATTCTTTTTCTGTTGTGGAGTAGTTGGACTCTGCACAGGAGAGCGTCCTACAAGCATATGCGTTCACTGACTTGGCTGAGTCTTGCCACTGGACAAGTAGGGCGCCAAAACCCAAGTTGCTGGAATCTGTGTGACCATGGTTAAAGCATCCTCATCAAAGTGAGCAAGCACAAGCAGTGTCTGTAGGCGTTGACGGTGATTGTAAAATGCCGCTTCTTGATCGTTGGCTCATGTGAACGGAACGTCTTCTCTATTGTGAGCATGTTTATGGCGAGGCTATGTGTGAGAAATTTGCAATACGCCTTCGGTAGTATGCGCAGATGGCAAGGAAGTGCCTGACTGCTTTATCTGTTGGCACCGGAAATTTTCTAATGGCTGCAATCTTGTCGCGATCATTTCGAACACCTTGTGGTTCACACATGGCCTAAGAATTGGGGCTCCTTGAAATTGAAATGACATCTCTCGAGTTTGTGTCAGGCCAGCACAGACATATTGCTCTGAATATTGATAGTATCCTTCTCATGGTCCTCAAATGCTTCCAAAAAAAAAACAATCACGTCGTCAAGATAGACCAGACACGTCTTTCACGTGAGAAATGGTATCCAATAGTTTCTGAAATGTTGCTGCAGCTGAGCACAACCCGAAGGGCAAAAATTTAGATTCATAAAGCCTGTCAGGCATAACAAAGCCGTTTTTCTCTATCTCGCTCATTGATCTCAATTTGCCAATACCCACTTTTGAGGTTCATTGATGAGAAGTAGCGTGCATGCCTCAGCCAGTCGAGTGAATTGTCGATTCAGGGTAATGGGTATACCCTCTTATTTGGTCACATGTTTCAGCCTGTGGTAGTCGATGCAAAAGCGCAAGCTTCCATCTTCTTTTTAACCAGCACTACTGACGATGCCAAAGGGCTTCTTAACGATCAGATGACGTTATCATCGAGCATTTTCTTCACTGTTCTTGGATTGCTTCACGCTCTTTCGGTGCTACGTGGTATGGGTTTTGTCGTATTGGCCTTGCCATTTCTTTCGTTATTATGCGGTGCTTAGTCAGTGGCATTTAATTGGCCCTCGAGGTCGACGAGAAAAGTTATATAAACTGGTGAAACAATCTACTTGGCGCTGTCTCTGCACTGATGATAAATTCGTGCTTATGTCAATAGTTGTTGCGGCTGACGTGGCTTGCACTGGTCCTGCTGCACTGCACAGTACTCGCTGATCTCGGCAATCTTGGTGAAGTAGGCAACTGTAGTACCTTGTGTAATGTGCCATCACTCGTTGCTGAAATTCGTCAATATCACATGACATCACTATAAGATTTGTAAGGTCATTATGTGTCTTCATGTTATAATTTTTTTGCCTCATTTTCTCCTGATATATAAGGACGTGAGACGCCAATGCTAAAATTTTGCTTTTGATGAGACAGCTAAGGCTTTAACCCTAAAATAAGACATGAAAAGGACCACCTTCACTTAAAATATGCATAACCAATTATGCACTGTCACACTGGCACCATTTGTGCGCCCATGTGGTTCACGACATGATGAAAACCGCGATAGGTGGTCACGCACTAGTACAGACTTGTCCACGGGTGAAAAAAGCTTGTAAGTGGTGGTGGTGGCAGAGGCAAAGTTGACATCTCCGATCCAAAACTGCCATTGTCCACAATCTCGTCCACAAGGCTAAGGAGACTGCCAAGATAACCTGCACAGGTGCACTAAAAAAGTGTGCATCAATTTTTTTAAAACAACATACGAGTATCACTCCTGCAGTCTGGGCTATCATTATAAACCAAAAACATTTGCAACTACAGTTTATCAAGCTATTTGGCCGTAGAGTTGCAGTTACAGAGCGAATACCCCCGACGCATTGGACGTTTTGCTATTTAAAGGAATGACATTAGCATCCAATTACATTATGTAGCTACTGCAGAGTAATATACAGCTTATTAAAATTCACTGACTTAAGCAACAAAATGAGTTCATGAAACACATTCGCCGTAGCAATCAAACTGAATGTATACTTTTTACCACAGACACTACTTGCATGTTGGCGTTCAGCAGTCTCAATTTGAACCATATTCACAAAAAAAACACGTCA